AACAACACTACACTCTCTCTCTCTCTCTCTCTCTCTCTCTCTCTCTCTCTCTCTCTCTAAAGCAACAGGTCTCGCTTTCATTGAAGACCACAGAAGACAAAGCTACAACTTATCTCTCAAAGGACAGATGAGACTCTCTCTCACACACATCAGTGATTGAGAACAAGTGACTCCCTCTCATCAGTGGTTGAGAACAAGTGAACTTTTGTTGTCAATCACAACAGAGCAAGGTTTTCTTTCGTCAGAGGGAGAGAAAGAGAAGTTTATGGAGTGAGGAAGAGAGAGATAGAGAGAGGCTCACAGGGTGAGGAATAGAGAGAGCGAGAGGGGGGTTTCATGGGAGGTTGAGAGAGAGAGAAAGTACTTTTTTGGGCTTGGGCAACGGAGGAATTAATGTAAGGAAAAGAAACAATGTTGTAATTTGCACAAGGAAAAAGATTGTTTGGGGCAAGGGGGTGCCCTTTTTTTTAACTTAAAGGGGGATCCACAAGTTTTCCGTGGACTTGAGGGTTTATTTGGGACTACAATTACAAGGAGAGGGGTTTCCGTCTTTCTCCCAATAAAATTTTAGTTTTTCAAATTTGTGACAATAAGCTATCTTGAGAGGAGTGATTTGACTCTTATAATGTTTTAGGGATGTGATAGCACGAATCTGTAACTATTAAGTGGTGTGATTCCATCCCAAAGTTAAGGCCACGTTTTACTCCTCCTTGCACGCACCACTACCCCATCTTCCCCTTCACCTCACACCACACTCATCTCCATCGATCAACCCTTGTTCAACCTCACAACACTCTTCTTCATCCCAACCTTCTCAACAATTTAGGCCCCACTCTCTACCATCCTTCATCCAAAAAACCAGCCACCTACAATTCACTTTACATCCCAAACCTCCAAGTACAGCGACACCCCACTCTGCCCCTCATCCCTTCACCTTAGTCCATATCGTGATCCCTCTCACTATCTATCCCTAACAAGCATTGACCTCTTCACCAAACAATACATGTTCCACTGTTTCATCATCTATCCTCAACCTAGATCACCTTCCAAAATCACTGCATATCCTCTCCTAAATATCCCTACCTTCTCAACCACCTCCTTAAATCAGCCATGTTACTCCCTGTCGTACTCTATCATTAACCACCCCAACCTTAACTTCGTCAACTACAGACTTTGAATAATCTCAGCCATCGCATGATAAGAATCTCTATCTCAACCTGACTCTGATCCCAATCCAATACTAACTATTTAACCTGCCCAATTCCAACCAAACCCTACATCCTAATCCATCTCCAACTCCAATCTGAACCCCAAATTAAACCCTAACTGATCTATCATACTAACCAAACTTCTAAATCCTAGCTTATTATCTGGCCCACCAAGCCCTTACCTGCATGAGTAGGAACCAAATTTCTTGTTCCCACATCAGTTACAAACTAAATAAAACGATTTGTTAAATAAGTCTATAAGAGGTAAGAAGGTAGAATTACTTGCCTCCTATTAGGTTTCTGCACAAGCTGTCAATTTTTTTAATTAGACAATAACTATCATATTCCTATGTTAAGGCAGACATTTTCTGCACTTGCTGCTTGCAATTCATTAAACCCTAGCGATATTAAATTGCACACTGTATCATGTTCTTCAATTTGAATACAGATGATGGTTCGAGCAGCCTAAATTCATTCATTGTGTGGACACTTAATGTCCTTGAACATTAAATACTATTATTTAAGAGATGTGTGGGGCCTAGAAGCGTCATTCCATGTAGTATTCAAATTAAAGAAATAAAGAGAAAAGCTTAAGCTTTTGAAGCTCTAGTTGGGTTTGAAGAAGAAACCCTAGGCTTCTTCTATTTATTGCCTCTGCTTGGCATAAAATATTGTTGATTTTCTGTTTTTCATAAATTTTCCTACATCAAATATGTTCTCAAGGGAAAATTCAAAAAGGGAAAACAAGTTAAAGAATTACCATGTGCCTAAGTAAATCTTTCACATGTATTCCAATGAAGAATTACAGCATGTAATCATAAGTTTGCATATGAAATATAAAATATGCATGTTCATTGCCATTTTTTTAATGGCTTACAATTTTGACAACAAACATACAATATATTCAATGAATGCTTCCTTTGCAGAATTCATACATAAACATTTTGTTCTACAAAATTTTCCAGGATACAAATTCATTTGTCATCCAAAATTACAATACCAGATACATTTACCTTGTTAAATTCATAATCACAAGCATATCATATACATATCATCCACAACTCAAGATGTATAGTTTATTGACATTCATGTTTGTAAATATGAAATTTAAGCTACAAAGCTTCCTGGATGATACATATTTCTCAAATCATGTCTTCTCTAACAATGTGTTTGTTGAAGGACCTTCCTGAACCATTTCACAAATCCCAAGACCCTTTCCACAACTACCATTTCCCCCATAACATATCTTGACAAAATTTTCTCTTCTCCAGTTACTGCTCGCACTTCCCTACCACTATAAACAAAGTTTTTCACTGTGTAACAACAAACATTTGTCTTATGGTCTGATCCCCCCAAAAATGTCCACTTAAAGCACAAAGACTGAAATGCCACTGGATCAAAATTTTCTGCTCTCACATAAAATCAAACATAAAGAAAATCTCTTGCAAAATTCAGTAAAATTGAAATACGAATCACAATTGAGCAGATTCTACATCATAACACTGTAGATAGGAGAAAGAAAGCATTTTATTATCATAACACTGTAAGGGCAATTGATGCATTGGTCAAAGATAAAGCCTCAGGTTTGGATGGTTTCCCGGTACGGCCTTTCAAGACCTTTTGGGAGACTGTCCGCCAGGATTTTCTAAGCTTCTTTCAAGAATTCCAATAGAGGGCCAAATTGCATAAAGCAATTAACGCCATTCATTGCCCTGATTCCCAAGGTGGAAAGGGCTGCGGAACTTAAAGATTTCAGACCCATTAGCTTGCTCAACTCCTCCTATAAAATACTTGCCAAGGTTCTTGCCACCTGTCTACAACAGGTCCCCCCTCTCATTATTTCTCCCTCTCAAACTGCCTTCATCAAGCATGGCAAATCCTCGATGGAGCCCTAGTTACACACGAGTACATTCATTCTAGGCATGCCTCTAAGAAGCCTGGCCTCATTTTTAAGATCAACTGGGAGAAAGCCTACAATCATGTGGACTGGTCTATCCTAGACCAGACTATGGGGAGGATGGGCTTTGGTGGGGTTTAGAGGAATTGGATGAGAGGGTGCTACTCCCACCCTCACTTCTCAATCCTCATTAATGGATCACCCAAAGGTTACTTCCCTGCTGCTAGCGGACTGCGTCAAGGGGATCCCCTCTCACCCTTCCTTTTTACGATCGCCACCGAAGTCTTCAGTAGATCCTTGGACTGTCTCTACCAAGAAGGCCTCCTCACATGTTTCAATAGCTCCACTCATGGCCCTATAGTGTCTCACCTGCAATACGCAGATGACACACTTGTGTTCCTCGAGCCCAATTCAAGAGAAGTTGACAACCTGAGGATTCTCCTGAAATGCTTCCAGGAAGCTACAAGTTTTAGAATCAACATGGACAAGTCCAAAATGATGGGGGTAGCCATCACTCAAAGAGGAAATCAGATCCTTGATCCCATCTTGGGAATGTAAAGTTGAGAACTTGCCCTCTACCTATCTCGGTCTACCCTTGGGAGTCGATAAACCGAAGAAAAACCTGTGGTCCAAAGTATTGGAAAGGTGGATAGAAGGTTGGCTGGGTAGAAAGGGAGATTCTTGTCAATGGCAGGACGTAGAACCCTCATTAATGCAACCTTAGCTAATTCCCATGTTTACCTTATGTCTCTGTTCCATATGCCTATTTCGATCGCCAATAGGTTGGAACAACTCTCCAGGAATTTTCTATGGTCCGGCCAGGCTGATAGAACAAAGTACCATCTCATTTCTTGGGATAAAGTCTGCTTACCAAAATCTCAGGGTGGCCTAGGAATTAAGTCTTTGAGATATAATCCCAGTATCAACATGGCTGCCAGAAGAGAGGCAACACAGATGTACTTCAAGTGTGTGGAAATCGATTTCCTTAGTACTACCAATTTTCAAAAACTGTATTAGATTCCATGCAAGAGAAGGATCAAGGGTTAGATTCTGGTCTGACCTCTGGCTGGGACATACCCTGCTAAAGGACCTTTATCCCGATCTCTACTCAGTTGCCTCAAACAAAGAAACAACAGTAGCTGACAAAGTGGTAACAGTAGGAGGGCAAAGAGTCTGAAACCCCATCTTCAGGAGAAATCTCTCAGAGGATGAAACTACACCATTCATCCTATTATTGACGGCTCTCCACAACACCTTTATCCCTCTCCAAGGCAATGACAACATCATTTAGACTCTTAACCCCTCTGGCGTATTCACTATGGCGTCGCTCTATAGAAAGCTCACCCTCCCGCCCACACCACCCGCTACCCCGACTTCGGGGTAATCTAAAGTCTGGCCCACCATCGCTTTGCCCAGGATTCAAATTTTCAACTGGATTGCTAAGTCACAAAGGGCCTTGACTGTTGACCAACTACAAAAAAGGGGTATTCTTACACCCAATAGATGTGCGATGTGTCACTCTGATGAGGAGACTAACCTACATCTCTTCATTCACTGTGAACAAGCACATCATCTGTGGAGCCTGGTTCTATGACGCTTTAGCTTTCAATGGGTTACTCCACCTTCAGTTCAAGCACTCCTCTCCACAGATTTGACAACCCTTGGCCCAAAACAGGGAAAATTCTGTGGAAGGCCACGGTTGCTGTTGTTTTGTGGGTTATATGAAAAGAAAGAATTACTAGGATTTTCCAAGCCTCCCTCCACCCTTTCTCTCTCAGTCAAAAGGTTACGTCCTTGGTCTCTTTTTCAGCTTCCAACCATAAAGCCTTCTTTGGGGTCCTAACTATTACCTTCCAAGGCTCATGTTCTTCTCCTCCATCCCAATAAGATGAAGAGATCGAGCAAATGGCAACCTCCTCCTAGGGGAACCATCAAATTCAACTTTGAGGGCTCCTCACATGGTTAATCCAAGGTCGGCAAGAGCAGTAGGAGTATTCAAGGACCATGATAGGACTATCCTTCCAACCTTCTCTAAGCCTCTAAATTTTAAGGAGTTACAACAAGCGGAAGCTTTGGCACTGTTACTTGGTCTCAAGATGGTTGACCCCGCCTGGGGGTCACGATTGATAGTAGAAGGGGATGCCCATAATATCATCTCCTGGCCATCGAGGGCGTCTACACCCCGATGGTACCTAACAAGTATTTTCTATGAGATTGAATTCAATTGCAGGGATATGGTCGTCTCATGGAGGCATATTTACAGGATGTCCAACGAGTTCGTAGATCTCATGGCCAATGACGGGGCAAGGATTGAAGTTGGGGGACCTCATCCCTTACTCTCGCAATTCACACCAAATTTCAGGAGAGAGGATCACTAGCTCATTGTTTTGACCAAGCATGGCCAAGACTTTTGTGTTCAGTTTGCAAAAAAGATGTGTACCTTCATAACAGAAATTTTGTAACAGCAACCAAGTGTGTATTAGAGGGCCAACTGAGCTTATTTTAGGCTCCAGTGCCCTCAAAAACTTGTGTACATATAACCTTTCGTATATATATGATATTATTAACATTTTCCAAAAAAAAAGAAGGCATTTTATTATCATTTAGAAAATGCAGCAGATGCAATCCCTAGTTCACCCACATGGTCAAGCTTCCTCAAAGACCATGAATTCGAGCTTCTCTCCAATGACCTTGCAATAAATTGACCCTCACCAGTCATTCAGTTTTGTGTAAGAAGTTTCTCCATGCTTTATCAGAGAATCGATCAGCATTGAAGTTAAGTAGTTAGTTTTGGGTAAGGTAACCTGAAGCCAATGGTTGCAGTAACAAGTACCTTGAGCTATGGCCTCGAACCAATAGCTCAACGCAACCTATGGGAGTACTACTTTCTCACATATGCATGGAACAAATAAACCATTTTCAAATATGCATAAGTACCAAACCTTGAATCAAGAGAGCAGTACAAGTGTTTTCAGAGTTGCGTCCCTAACCACGGTCAATTGTGCAAATCCATAATGCACAAAAAGAAAAATGTAAAACAAAGAGATTAACAATCAGAGATGGGAAATTGAAAATCCAACAACAGATCACCAACAAGTTCCATGCCCTACCAGGTCTGACGGAAATCAAATTATATATTTGATCAGCGAATATGCAGGAGACTGAATAGAGTTGAGGGTGCATGTTAATTGCTCAATTTTATGACATGAAGGGAGAATGAATAGGAGAGGTATGAGAAAGAGGAGGATGGCAGAATAAGAAGAAGAAGAAGAAGAATGTACCGTGGGGAGCTGGGGTGGAGGGGGAGGGTAGAGAGCGTCCTTAGAGGAAGGGAATTGATCAAGGAGGGAGGGCATGTACATGACGTTCGTCCCTTGGAATCCCCTCGTCCCGTCCAACGACCGTAGCTCCGGCCCTAAACCGCAAACCACCACGTACTCAAACAGTCTCCCGCCAACGCTACCCATCATCACACCCTCTATCGCTGTGTCTGACGCCTATGCAACTACAACAAATTCACCGGAGCCCCGCATCCCTTCTTCCACTCCAAATGCAGCTCTCTCTCTCTCTCTCTCTCTCTCTCTCTCTCTCTAATGCAGCAGCTCTATCTCTCTCTCTCTCTCTCTCTCTCTAAATGCAGCAGCTCTATCTCTCTCTCTCTCTCTCTCTCTCGCCCTCTTCCACTCCAAATGCAGCTCTCTTTCTCTTCTTCCACTCCAAATGCAGCTCTCTCTCTCTCTAAATGCAAATCTCTCTCTCTCCCTCTCTAAATTATATTTAATGCAGATCTCTCTCTCTCCCTTCCAGTCGAAATCATAGTTAGCGAATCGGCCGAATCGGCGTTTTAAACGCGAGTTTTTTAAAAAATTGAAGTTTTTTTAAATCTCGTTTTAAAGTGCGTATTTTTCAAAAGGGCGTCAGAAAATTATTTTTTTTAATGAAGAAGTTTAATACGTGATTTTTTTATTTTTATAATAAGTTATTTAAAAAAAAAAGTTTCCATCAATAATACTCCATCGTACACACAGAGAGAAAACCATGTGATAGAGAACATCTCATCGTTGGGTACATTAAGAGGAAAGATAACCATCTCAAAAAAATTAGGAAAAAAAAGAGATAGAAAATTTTAAAAAATCTCCAAATTGAACTGCATCATAAATGCTTTATGGGTATAGAGGGAGAAAAAGAGAACCACCGTTTATAATACATGTTTTAGAGAAAAAAAACCATTGTTTATATTGAAGTATAGATTTAATATTAACTATTAAAAATCCCTAAATTTAACAACATTTCAGAGAAATTATGGAAATATAGATTAGGATAAATAGAGGACAATCTGATTGAGAACTTTCAAATCGCATCAAAAATTTAACAAAACTCAAAAATCCCCAAATTAACATAGCTCAAAGAACATATTAGGGAAAATAAATTAAGGAAAACATACAAAGGGCTTTTCCCTCAATCCAACAGCTTAAAAATACAACACGATTTGATTTAGACGCATCCATCTAATTTTCTTCACAAGTTCACCATCTGCTTCAAAAAGACAGCACCATTCTGAAAAACCCTGTCTGTTCTCCTTTGAGAGATCCGTGGTCATCCCCCGCCCCCACTCTCTCTCGCTCTCTCTATTTCTTTCTCTGCATCCTCCTCTCTCGCTCCCTCCCTCTACATTTCTTTCTCCTATGCCACTTCTCACTCTCTGTCTCCTGGCTCCAAAGGACATGGACACCCCCCTATCGTCTTCTCTTTATGTCACAATAGGATGGTACAGTGTATATTCGTATAATTAGTCTAGTGTATAGTTAGTATGGCTAGTATAGTGTATAGTTATTAATAGTGTATAGTTAGTATGGTACATAGTTAGAATAGCTAGTTTAAACACTATAGTGTTAGCATAAATATGGTGCCCCTCTTTTAAACTTATCCTTTTTTTTAATTTCAATTTTTTGAGCTTAGTCCGCTATATTTACGACATTTTTACATAAAGTATATTTGCCGATATGTATTTTTTACCTGATTTTTTCATTTGACTTTTTCAAATAAAAACAATTTAGTTCTGATTTTATGGTGAGCCGATATATTGATACTCCCCGACTTGCTAAGTATGGTCAAAATGCAGATCTCTCGCTCTCGCACTTGCTTGTCCTCTCACAACGCCAATATAGGTGTACCGATTTATTTAGAGCATCGGGGTCAATTACCGAATGGGTGTCATTTGCCATAAATTACAAGCACCTCCTCTTCTTCTATAGTTTTTTTTTTTAAGCCTTTATGTCTAGTTGCATAAACATCGGACATGGAGTTATTATTAAGGGAACCACCTTTTTTATTATTTGTTCCTAAGTTGCCTTGTATCTAGCTACGTAACATCGGGCAAGGAGTTATTATTAAGGAAACTGCTTTTTCTATTTTTTTAGTTTTTTAATTAGACAAAACTATCTATTCCTATGTTAACGCAGATATTTTCTACACTTGCTTCTTGCTATTCATCAAACCCTAGAGATATTAAATTGTGCACTATATCATGTTCTTCATTTTGAATACAGAGATGGTTAGAGCAGCCTAAATTTATTCATTGTGTGGACAATTAATGTCCTTGAACATTAAATACTATTACTTAAGAGATGTGTGGGGCATAGAAAGGTCGTTCCATGTGGTATTCAAATTAAAGAAATAGAGAGAAAAACTTACTCTTTTGAAGCTCTAGTTGGGTTTGAAGAAGAACCCCTAGGCTTCTCTATTTATTGCCTGTGCTTGGCATAAAATATTGTTGATTTTTTGTTTTTCATAAAATTTTCCGCACCAAATATGTTCTCAAGGGAAAATTCAAAAAGGAAAAACAAGTTAAAGAATTACCATGTGCTTAAGTAAATCTTTCATATGTATTCCAATGAAGAATTACGATATTTAATCATAAGTTTGCATATGAAATATAAAATATGCATGCCCATTGTCATTTTTTTTTTTAATAGTTTAAAATTTTGACAACAAACATACAATTTATTCAATGAATGCTTCCATTGTGGAATTCATACATAAGCATTTTGTTCTACAAAATTCTCTAGGACACAAATTCATTTCTCATCCAAAATTACAATACCAGATACTTTTACCTTGTTAAATTCATAATCACAATCATATCATATGCAAATCAACAACTCAAGATGTATAGTTTATTGACATCCATATTTGTAAGTATGAAATTTAAGATACATAGCTTCCTGGATGATAAATATTTCTCAAATCATATCGTTTCTAACAATGTGTTTGTGGAAGGACCTTCCCGAACTATTTCACAAATCCAAAGACCCTTTCAACAACTACTATTTCCCTCATAACATATCTTGCAAAAATTTTCTCTTCTCCAGTTATTGCTCTCACTTCCCTACCACAATAAACAATGTTTTTCACTATGTAACAACAAACATTTGTCTTGTGGTCTGATCCCCCCAAAAATGTCCACTTAAAGCATGAACACTGAAATGCCATTGGATCAAAATTTTTTGCTCTCACATAAAATAAAACTTAAAGAAAATTTCTTGCAAAATTCAGCAAATTTGAAAAACCATAGGAATCACAATTGAGCAAATACTACATCATAACACTGTAGGTAGAAGAAAGAAGGCATTTTAGTATCATTTAGAAAATGCAGCAAATGCAATCCCTAGTTCACCCACATGCTCAAGCTTCCTCAAAGGCCATGAATTTGAGCTTCACTCTTATGACCATGCAATAAATTGACCCTCACCAGTCATTCAGATTTGTGTAAGATGTTCATCCATGATTTATCAGAGAATTGATGAGCATCGAAGTTAAGAAGTAGTTAGTTTTGGGTAAGGTAACCTGAAGCCATTGGTTGCAGTAACAAGTACCTTGAGCTATGGCCTCGAACCAATAGCTCAACGCAACCTACGGGAGTACTACATTACCAAACCTTGAATCAAGAGAGCAGTACAAGTGTTTTCAGAGTTGCATCCCCAACCACGGTCAATTGTGCAAATCCAGAATGCACAAAAAAATATATGTAAAACTAAGAGATTAATAATCAGAGATGGAAAATTGAAAACCCAACAACAGGTCACCAACAAGTTCCATGCCATAATAGGACTGAAGAAAATCAAATTATATTTATGACCAGCGAAAATGCAGGAGACTTGAGGGTGCATGTTAATTGTTCAATTTTATGACATGAAAAGAGAATGAATGGGAGAGGTATGAGAAAGAGGAGGATGGCAGAACAAGAAGAAGAAGAATAAGAAATGTACCGTGGGGAGCTGAGGTAGAGGGGAGGGTAGAGAGCATCCTTAGAGGAAAGGAATTCATCAAGTAGGGAGGGCATGTAGATGACATTCATCCCTTAGAATCCCCTCGTCCCGTCCAAGGACGGCAGCTCTGGCCGTAAGCCACAAGCCACCAAATACTCAAACAGTCTCCTGCCAATGCTACCTCTCTCTCTCTATCAGGCGCCTAAGCAACTATAACAAAATCACCGGACGCCCTCTTCCACTCCAAATGCAGCTCTCTCTCTCTATCTCTCTCACACACCCTCTTCCACTCCAAATGCAGCTCTCTCCTCTATCTCTCTCTCACCCTCTTCCACTCCAAATGTAGCTCTCTCTCTCTCCCTCTAAATGCATATCTCTTTCTCTCTTCCTCTCTAAATTCTATTTAATACAGATCTCATACTCTCTCTCTCTCTCTCT